TTTGGTGGTTTGGGGTTTTTGGGCAGGTTTAGGCGTGTTTTTGGGTCTAGGGTTTAGGGTTTAGGGAGTAGGAGGCCTTATGGTTTAGGGTTTAGGGTTTAGGGTTTAGGGTTTAGGGTTTAGGGATGTAGAGCTTTGCTTTTGTGCAGGGTTTATGTTGACAGGGTTCATACAGGGTGGATAGGATGAAAAAGGGCTGATAGGATTTAGGGATGTTTAGGGATCCACTTAGGTTTGATATGACAGGATTGAATCGGGGCTGATAGGATTGAGGGATATTCAGCATCACGAGAACTTCTCGGAAGATGAATGCTCGATTCTCGATAACTGCCCAAGCACCCAGAGGTGATATTTACAATTTGTCGTTGCCAAGGGTTTAGGGTTTAGGTTTTGCCAAGGGTCTTACCGGTATCAGGGCTTATGAAACATCCGCAACGCCCTACTGTCGCCCTCAGGTTGAAGAGTTGTTGCAAATCCCCATGGACCCGGACGAAATGATCGCTGGTACAGATACACCGCTGATGCAGGCATCGTGCACAGACAGCATCAAGGTTACAACTCTGCTGATCGAGGCTGGTGCTACTGGGCTTTTGTTATAGAATTTGGAACTTAACTTAAACTTCAAAGTCTGTACCATTGGGGAATCTGTCGTAAACAGCTGGTTTCCTTATTATGGTAGTTTAACGAAGTGCCTTAACACGAACCCAGGCTAACCAGGATCTGCGTGACGATGTTGGCCGTACGGCGCTGATGGGGGCCGCAATGTTTGGCTGTCTTCGCGTCCTGCAATGTCTCCTCGACTCTGGTGCTCAGATGGATTTGCAGGACAGTCAAGGTTTTTCTGCGATGATGTTTGCGGCACTCTACAATCAAGCTTTTGCTGCAAGTTTGCTCCTGGATGCCGGTGCTCAACGAGATTTGCGTGACAACGGTGGCCGCACAGCACTACAATGGGCAGCTGAAGCTGGTAACGATGCCATTGAGCAGTTGCTTCTTGAGCCCTAA